TTGTTTTTTTTTTGTAAAAAAATAATAAAAGACCAATTGGAAAACGTTGGCAAAACTAATCATCTATCATTCCGATGAATATTTTCATAAAAAAAAAGAATTATAAAAAGATTAGTGTTTGTAACGTTTCATACGTTAGACTCGTAATTTTTTTACGTTTCCGGGATGAAATTTCAATGACAGATGAACTGAAACGTCACTTCCGTCTGTTTCAAAGTTCGACACTATCCATCCGTCAGATTATGCTTTTTGCATTTGCATAAAAATTCAATTTTTTATTTTATTCTTAAATCTCCGATTGCGAGACATTTTTTTTTTTTTTTTTTTTTATAAGTGCTTTTGTGTTTTTTTCCCTTTTTTTTTTTTCTACCAGTTTTGCTAACAACTCCCTCCCTCATCTGCTTACCCTTTTCCCTACTACTCCTGACTTTTCCCTAACGAAAATAAAAAAAATAAAAAAAATTTTTTTTTTCCTCAATGCAAAAATATTATTAATAAATAAAATAATATTTTACCGTGATTTACTATTTTTAATAAATCATTCGTTTATTCATTCATTCATTCATTCAATCACTCATTCATTCACCTTTTACAAATTAAATTTAACGTTGATTGAAAACGAAAAAATTGCGGCGGAATTCAAATCGTCAACCTCTCATTTCCCAAACCATTTTGAAAATTTTAAAAGGAAAATTATCGGACGTACGCACGCGTGATTTAAATAATAATAATAATAATAATCGCGGCGTAATTTTCGTCGTAATTTTTTTTTTTTACGTAGTAGCTGATGAAAATAAGGAAAACCAAAATAAAGAATTATGGATTTGGGGTTGAACGAAAACAGATTCTTCGACCCATTTAAAAAGGCAGAGGGTTAATTTTTGTAGCCTTTGGGGGTTTTTCTTACCCTTCACCTACTTTTTACCCCCGTAAAGTCAGTATTGTAGTTTATGGCATTTCACATTTAAATAATAATAATGATAAAAATTGTACGAATTTAAATTTGTGACCCATTTGACGATGAAGACGAGGACCCAACCTAAAAACGACTTGTTGCTACTATTTGGTTTTTTTTTTTTGTAATGTTTTGCTTATGATTTAAATAATAATAATCATAATAATAATGAGAGTGATAAAAATCGTTTTTCGAATACATTTAAAAAAAAAAAAAATATATCGGAAGAGACAAAAAGAAGACAAATAATCAAAATTCAGGTTTTTTAGGAATTTAGTTAATAATAATAAAGGAGTTGTAAGGTTTTTTTACTGAGCCTGAAATTTTTGATTTCTGTTTTTATAATGTAAAACGTATAATTTTGTCCTTGTCTCACTTTCCCAGCCTTAAATTATAGAATGCGTACAACGTAAGAAAACGAGTGAAAACGTTTTTCCCGCGTTAAACATCGTCGTTTTTTTAAACGTAAAATTGATGAAAATTTTATTTTAAGATGATTTGTTTTAACGATTGATTCGGTAACCCCAAACGGTTTTTCTAACGATGTTTTATTCGTTAAACTTATTCGAAAACGGTAGAATCGAGCTGAAAATAATAGGTTAGAAAACTTCTGGATGGGTTATTTGAATCGCGTCCGTCTGCGAGTCTTGTCATTGGTTAAACTTTATTTCAACTGATCACGTGACAACTATTTTTATACATACGTATTCACGCTTTTTTCTTGGATTTTTTTTTCCTTTTTTTAACTCGTTTTTTTTTTTTTTTTTTATTCTTTTTATTACAATTTTTCTTTTTGTCGTTTTATCGTCATCGTCGGTTGTCGTTGTCGTTGATGTCGTCGTCGCCGTCGCCGTCGTCGTTCTTTTTGTCTTCTTAATCATCATTATCGTCATAGTAGATATAGTCATCATCGTCATTATCATCAATAAAATAATATTGGATTTTGTAATGGCTCCGACACGATAAGGAACAAAAAAAATTATTATTATTATTTTTTAACGTGGCAAAAGAATCGGTATAACCAGAAATAATAAAGAAACAAAACTAGAGGCCTACGCGAGGGGGGAAGAAAAACGTTAAATTAAAAATAATGATAATAAATAACGTTTGACAATGTAAAAAAAAAAAAAAAAAGTGTCGTCGCGAGTGGTGAAAAAGTGTCGCGGAAATGTGATTATTTTTGTTTGTAGTTTGTTTAAAAAAAAACCGTCGATTTTTTTTAAAAACAAACAATTAATTAATATAAATTAAATATTAAAATGACGTTTGTTTGTTGTTACAAGTAGAAAAAATATTCAAAGGTTAAGAAAAAAAAATAGAAAAGTTTTTTGTTTGACGACGTCGTTGACTGATTGTTTTATCGTTTGTTTTTATTTACATTTTTTGTTTTTTTGCCGTTTGTACTGTTTGTGTTAAAAAATTTGGACCCGAAGTTCAGGTACGATGAAAAGTGTTAAGAGTTTTTATTATTTAACAAAAGCAATGATCTATTATGTTGTTATTATTGTAAAGGAAAAGGTTAATACCTTTTAAACTCATTCTCTCTCTTTCACTCTCGGTGCAAACCTAAAAAGCAAGAACCTTAGCTTGAATTCTAGAAAAATTTAAATTGTAACACAATATGGATTCCATATTTAAGAATATAAATAATTATAAACTTAATTTTTAAAATCTTCTCCCCTAAAAAAGAAAATACAATCGCAGCAAAAGAAAATTTTAAGAAAAAACGTGTCTTTACAACTTATAAAAAACCATTTTAAATCTAATAAGAAAAAAGAAACCTTTTAAAAAATTCGATAATTTTTTTTTTCCCAAAATTCCAGGCGTGACGTTAGCATCGATTGAACCTTTCAATCACGTCACTGGAAATTTTTTTTTTTTTTTCCGGGGGGAGGATAAAAAAAAAAAATTTTTTTTTCTTTTCCCCCCGAAAAAAAAAAGATTTCTTTTTTACCGGAAATTTTTTTCGCGTCGTATCAAAACGTATACATATATATAATGTACTAGATAAATTTATGAATCCATGTACCGGATATCCGGGTTTTTGTACCTGAAGGGAAAATATTTGAAAAGAAAAATTTACTATCTTTTTCTCTCTCTCTCTCTTCAAAAACTTTAAATTATGGCAAAAACTTTTTCTTTTTTTTTTCTTCTGAAATGATAAAAAAGGGAAGAAAAAAAAGAAAAAATGTTTTTTTCTTTCTTCCTTTCCTTTTTTTCGTCAACAATGATGACAACCTTAAATCACATTAAATTCGATTTTACCAACAACAACAAAAAGAAAATTTATATCACCTCTCTATAAATTCACATCAATCGCTATAACTATAAATAAATATTTATTTACTTCAACCGTGAAATAAAATATTTTTCCAACTTTGTACGTTTATTTAAACGAATAATTCAAAGACTCAATTTTGTAATTTTTGCATTCAGAACAATTATAGACTACAAACAAACTATAGCATTTTGATATAATTTAAAAAGTTTCCCTACAATACAATCATTCTACCATTTTATTATAGATTCGTAAATTACGTTTCATCAATTAAAAAGAATTTCTTGTCAGGAATCAAAAACGATCCGCGAATATAGTATTTATAGCATATTATAGCGCGCGTTTTTGTTAAGGGCTTAATGCTACAAAACATATTGAAAATCATAACTGCGTAATATTAACAAGGTTCGATTCTTCTAATACAATAACCATTACCATTTATAACAAATAACAAAATCAAAAAGTAGCATTTCTTATAGTTATAGTCTATAAAAGACTTTGACTTTATTTATTTCCGCTTTTATGAAACCCTCTTTTACACAATAATAATAGTAATAATTTGAAATTTTGTGTAAATAAAACCACCCCGTCATTGTCACTCATATTAAAACTCTTTTCTTTTTTTTTTTTTTGTAATGGTTGTGTGTGTGTTTTTCCATAAAAATGAAAACAGAGAAAGAGAGAGAGAGAGAGAGAAAGAGAGTGAGGCACAAAAATACTGGAAAAAAAAACCAATATATGCGTGACATAAAAGAAACGACACATTATTATTATTATTATTATTACAACATTCATTTCATTAAATATTAATCCTAATTTTTTGTTTTTTTAATTTATAGTGCGTGCGTGTGTGTGTCTGTGTCTGTGGAAACCAAGAACGACAACAACAACAACAATAACAACAACGCTGCTGCTGCTGGAGTAGTAACAAAAAAATGGTGGTGAAATAAAATAAATAAGTAAAACCGCAACGAGGAACGTTTGAATTAAATTATTAATTAATATTATGTGAAATAATGATCAAATTTAAACCGTGAAACTTTTTATGTCGCCATTATAATAATAATAATAATAATAAAACGCTATGTTTAAATTACAGACACCGCCACCACCACCATCACCGCGTTAAATAATGTGACAAAACTACAACACGAGGAATAACAAAGTAGTGCTAATAATAATAATAATAATAATAATAGTTTATTTAAAAGAAAAAAACTTTTATAGGAGATTATAAAAAGTGTAATAAAAAAACCGTGAAGAAAAAAAAAAAAAATTAATAAAAATTCATTCGGACTCAACTTTGGTGGTGGTCTATAATTTTATAGAGTTTAATAATTTTATAGTTATGAGTTTTTATATAGCAGTGATAAAATATAGCGCACGAAGAATAAATAAATCGATCGATTGATGATTTCTTTTCGGTCGTATTGTATACCTATCGATTTTTTTTTTGTATTTGTTTGTTTGTTTGACTCGTAATTGAAACGTATTATTATTATAATATTTTTTTTGTTGTTTGTTGGTTGCATTTATTCGAACCATGTTTGATAGTGAAGTAAAAAAAAAAAAAAACGACAAAAAAAAATTGTTTTTCTTTTTTTTACCGTTGACGTAAAGTGATTGATCGTCAGTTTTGTTGGACATGATTTTCGTTGAAGTGTTTCGGTGAGCGGGTCGTCGTCGTCGTCGTCGGTCGTCGGTCGTCGTCTGTCCGTCGTATCACGGAAGGTTGTTTTTTTTTTTTTTCGGGGATTTAAAATTACAATGCGTGGGAAACAGGGAGCGAGAGGAGGAGGAAACATGGTAACTGGCGGAACGGGAAACAGTGGTAATTCATCGGGTTTAGACGAAGAAGAAGACGAATACGTTGCGAGCGTTAAAGCAAGACCACCTACCCCCATGTACGACAATACGAAGGGTGGTGGTGGTGGTGGCGGTGGGGATAACATATCCGCCGGTAGCGGAATAACCGGCGGTGGGTTTTGGTTGGCCGCGGTTCAAGCATCCGCTACCGGTCCTCCCCACGGTACTCATCCAATGGAAACCGGGTTACATATGGATCACATTCCTACAGCCGAAACCGGGTTTATAAATTCTCAGCCTTCAATGGCTGAATTCATGACGGCTTTGCCCCACATAAGCGGAGACATACAAAGGTCTATGAGTCCGCCACCGGGAAACTATCCAATGAGTGAACCTATATCCGGACAACAATCTCAATCCGGAGTTAATGTACCGGAATATCCTTGGATGAAGGAAAAAAAAACATCCCGAAAGAGTAATCAACAAGGTAAGTAAGGTTTTTTTTTCTACCGTACCTTTTACACTACCGCGTTGGTAACCGTTTGTACCTCAACAAAACGATAAAATCTATAAAAAAAAAAGGAAAAACTATTTTATAGCTTTAAAAATGAAAAATGATAAACCCGACGCAAAAATTTGTCTGAAAACATTAAACAAAAAAAAAACACTCCGACAGTTACTACAACAACAACAAACAACTGTTTTCATTGACAAATACCTTATAAAATTTTTTTCCTGTTTTAAAAATGATCGATCTCTGACAACACGGATTTCATCATTCACGAAAACAACAGACAACAAACAACAAACACCTTAAATGTATCGCTAACCTTTATCCAAATGATTTCCTTTCGTTCGTTTATTCGATCGTTGAACATTTTTATCGGATAAAAAAAAAATACCTGAAAAAAAAATGGCGGACGGACACCACGATCGTTTTACTCTAATTTAATTCGGTGGCAAAATTATTTATTTAAGCAAAAAATAAATTTTTTTTTGTCTGCAACTCGATTTGCTGCCACGAAACCGAAAAAACAAAAAAAAAATTTTTATCCAAAGGGGCGCAAAAATAATAATAATAATGATAATAATAAGTTCAATAGGGACGTAATTTTTCATGTTTGATTTTTTTTTTTTTTGTTAAATGAATGAGAAGAGCGGCGGCGTACCTTTTTTTTTTCTCTCTTCAAATCGAAATTTTTTTTTTTTAATTTTAAAAGAAAATTAGGTTTAAGGTTTATCTGTCAGCATGAAAAATTTGATGGGATGCAAAATGTTGTGAGGTCCCCTTATAAACAATTGGTTACACCCATTTTTCTTTTGACAGTTTATTGGTTTCTCTCTCTCTCTCACTCGGTACCTTCCATCCATCCATCCATCCATAATTAATTCATTTATTATTAACAAATTTTTTTTTGTTTTTTTTTTTTGACTTTTTCCTTTTCCAAAAAAAAAAAAAAAATTTTTTCCGCCCCCCAGGCACCGATGGGAGTTCAAAAAAAAAAAAGGAAAAAAAATCTTCTGCTTTTTAAAAATTATATATCAATTGTTTGTTACAAAAATTTTGGTTTTAAAACAAACGCGGGCTTAATTTAACATTGTATGCGGTTTACGAGAGAGAAAGAGAGAGAGAGGAAGAGAGAGAGAAATTGAGTTTTTTTTTTTTTCGTGGAACAACGCAAAATATAAATTTTTACATTGTTTAATGTCTTTAAAAAAACGAGAGAGAGAAAGAGAAAGAGAGAGAGAGGAAGAGAGAGAGAAATTGAGTTTTTTTTTTTTTCGTGGAACAACGCAAAATATAAATTTTTACATTGTTTAATGTCTTTAAAAAAACGAGAGAGAGAAAGAGAAAGAGAGAAAGAGAGAGAGAGAAGGAAAAGGGTGGAAAAAAAATTTTTTTTTTTTTCGTGTCGTCTTTTAAACTTTTTTTTTTTTTCTACTTTTTTTTCTTCTCCTAACGCCGCGTTTTTACAGAAAATCAATAAAAAAATTTTTTGTCATTTTAAAATTTAAAGCTTTCTAAAATAATAATAATAATAATAATAATAATAATAAAAAGTTTTTCCAGAGATGAAAAAGAAAAAAAAAAAAATTTTTTTTTTTTCGTTTCAAATTAGATAAGGTTTTATCCCGTAATCCTCCGGTTGAGAGTTTCCAGAAGAATTTTTCTCCAGATTTAAAAAAATTTTTTTTTTTATCATGGAAAAAGATACTGCCAACGATAAAAAAAAAAAAAAATTTTTTTTAAAATGTTTTCTGCTTTCTTATTTGTTTTTAATGTCGATTTACAATTAAAATTTACGCAAAAGTTTTAAAACAAACAAAAAACGACCTGAAATCCCCGATCGCGACGACGTAAAAAACTCTTATTCCTATTTTTAACAGACTTTATTAAAATACTACAAACAAACTAACAAACAACAAACATTCTCACATTTTTCAACCCTTTTGTAATGTAATTTCCGTTTTAACTTTTCTTTTTTTTACATCCTACGTCACATTTTACTCTTGTAAAAAAAAAAATAAAAATAAATTTGACACGTTTAAAGATTTTTTTTTCAGTCAAAAAGTAAAAAACAAAAAACATAATAAAAAAAAAAAAGAAAGTTAATAAAGGAAAAAGAGAAGAGAGAGAGAAAGAGATAGAGAGAGAGTTTAAACGACGTAAAACGCGTGCCAGGGTGAATTATGGGTTGTTCGGTGGTTGGTATCCTGGGGTGTTTTCATTTTATCCCGTTGTGCCTCAATTTGCCGAGGTCTTGTTGAGTTAAGTGTTCTTATAAAATACATAACCTTAGAAAAGATTTATTGCTTCAAATATTCACTCTCTTTTACAAACTCTCTATCTCTCTCTCTCCTTTCATTCTTTTCCAACAGGAATAAAAAGAGAGAGAGAGAGTTAAAAGAATCGACATCGAATCAAACTTAATAAAGAATAATTTACGTCATCGTATTTTTTTTTTAAACGCAATCGTATCCTAACACAACAACAAACAAACAAACAAACAAAACGTAAAAAAAAAAAAAAACGCAAAACGAACATTTCAAAATAAAAAATTTTTTTTTTTTAATCTTACACCATCACCACCATTTTTTTCTTCTGTAGGAATCGGGTGGGAGTGTTTTCTGTGGGGGTCATCGCGTGACGACATCAATTATTATTATTTTTTTTACCGCAACAACAACAACAACAATTCCGCCGCCATTTTCTCTTTTTCAAATTATTATTATTATTATTATTATTATTATTATTTTCTTTTAATGTAACGAAAATACATATATTATTCGTCAATGGAGAGTGTAAGTAAGGAGAGGGAGTAACTGAATAAAATAGCATACATATATAAACTCGTGACTCAAAAAGAAAAAAAAGAAATTTCTTTTTTTTTTTTTTTTTTTAATGTTTCCATAGAACCCGAGGCGGAGTTTAAAATAATGCATTAAAATATATAAAAAAGAAATTTTTTCTTTTTTTTTTTTTTTTTTTACAAATAACAAGTTTTAACATTATAAAGTTCACTTTGTGAGAAAACGGGAAAAAGTTTTTACTCCTCCTCCTCTACCTCCTTTTCTTCCTCTTTATACCCCTCCCTTCCCCTGTTCCTCCCTCTTTCTCTTTCCGTCTTTCCCACCCGTACCTTTGATCGTATTTAAATATTATTATCAAATTTTTTTTTTTAATGAATCAAAATAAGTAATAACAATAAAGTCATTTGAAAGAGAGTAAAATAATTGATGACGTCATAAATCCGATATAAAAAAAAAATTTTTCCATTTGTTGTTTGTTGTTGTGGCTGTGGTTGTTGTTATAATTAGTTAAAATAGAAATTTTTTATAGAAATGAAGGCGTTACAAACACGCGTAGTAGGGGAATTCACGAAGCATTGAAAAAAAAACATAAAAGGAAAAAAAATTAAAAATAATAATAATAATAATAATAATAATAATAATAATAATAATAAATAGTAATCAAAGTATATCATACGTGACAGGAAGAATCCATTTTATTTTTTTTTTTTTTTCGTAACGAAATTTTTTTTTCCCGCGATTTAATCATTTTTTTTTTTTTAAAGTTTATTTTTATTTATGTCGTTCGCAAGGTTAAAAGAGAGAGAGAGAGAGAAATATTTATTATTTGATGGTAATTTTTATTAAAAAAAAAAAAACCTTCGTTGAAAAATACAAAAAAAAAAATTTTTTTGTACTATGAGAAAATCTCAATCAGTCATTAAGAAATTTAATTATCATTTGTTTATTTTGTTGTATTATTATTATTATTATTATTATTATTATTATTATTATTATTATTATTATTTTAGCGGTTTCGTAAAGAGAGAGAAAGAGAGAGAGAAGGCATGTTTACTATTACATATATATAAAAAAAATTTTTTTTCACGAATTAAACATCACAATTAAAAAAGAAATAAAAAACTCTTGAACGAAACTTTTGAATTTTATTCTTACTATCCGTTTTATTATTATTATTATTTACGTACGCATGGTCATAGTCGTAGTCACACACACACACACACGCACAAAACGCATTTTTACTCATAGATTTTTTTTTTTTTAACATTAAAGTAATAAATATTTTTCAGTCAAGTTAGTTAATTTTTTTTTTTTTTTTTCAAGGCAAATTAATTTGTTTCACACATTTTTTTTTCTTTTCTTTTGTGTATTCAAAGAACGCGCGCGCGCGCGCGTTTTTTTTTTTGCCTCCATAAAAAAAAAAAAAAAAAATTTAGAGAGAAAGGAAATAAGGGCGGTTCGTTTTTTTTTTTCGAATGATTAAATACGGAGAGAGAGAGAGAGAGAGAGAGAGAGAGAGAGAGAGAGAGAGAGAAAGAGAAAACCTTCGAAAATGTTTTTTTTTTTTTTTTCGTTTCCCATTTGCAGTCACGAATTTAAAACATCAAAAAAAAAAAAAAAAGAAAAAAAAATCACGAGGATTGAATGGTTTTTTTCTATGTACCCAAAATTAAAAATAAAACAAAATAATAATAATAATAACGATAAAAGAGAGAGAGTGAGAGGTAAAAGAAAAACATAATTAAATAAAACGTCACGTCAAAAAAAAAATAAAACTAATGTTATAAACTTGATAAAAATCTATAATTAAAATTTAGTAGAGGCGAAAATATTAAAAAAAAAGAAAACTCTAAAAACCGGAAATAATATTTTTTAAACAGTCAGACGTTAATAAATAGCAATAATATAAAATATATATATATTCCAGACTGACTTTTCTCCAGCGTTGTAAAAAGAAAAATACGTTTTTTTTTTTTTTTTCTTACGAAATAACTTATTAAACATTATCATTATTATTATTATTTTATAAAACGTAACGATAATAATAATTTTTTTTTTCCCCGTCTCTCGGTTATTAGTTTTTTCGGACGTTCGGCCATGAAATTTAAAATTTTATTATTATTATTACTTTACTTTGTTACGAAGCAGAAGAAAAAAAATTTTTTTCGATTTTTTACACCTGGAATTCCTTTTTTTCCGAGACTGGATTTTTTTAATAACTAAATAAAAAATTTTTCTTACCTTGAAAAAGAAAAACCTGGAGAATGTGATGACGTCAGAGCAAATAAATATCCGTATTTTATGTCGTCGGATGATTTTCCTCTGTCGTCGGAGAAATTTTCTTTTTTTTTTTGGTTTTCCATTAAAAAATTTCCTAAAAAAAAAAAAAAATTATACAAATGAGAATTAATAATAATAATAATGATGATGATGATGATGATGATGATAATTTCATAACATCGCAGAAAAAAAAAAATTTCCTCTCTTCTTCTTGTCTCATCTCATAAATTCGGTTAAATTATAATTTTTTTTTTAAATTAAAATGGCGTGTTAATTTTTTTTTTTTTATGTTACGTTACGAAAAAAAAAATTATTATTATTATTTTAGTGGCAGGAAAATAATTTCCACGAATTTTTTATTAAAAAAAAAAAAAAATCAGGGGCGTACAAGGTTAAATACCAAAATGTGGGAAACTCATGAGAAAATATACATGACGAAATATTCATTTCCGGTTTTTTTTTGAAAATTCAACGTCATTTATCTATCTAATAAATTATATTTTGCAAGGTTTTTTTTACTCTATGCGCGTGCGTTTGAATTTTCCCAAAAACAAAAAAAAATATTAATAATAATTGCAATTTCAAAATGGCGGAACTTTATGGCAAAAACTTAACTCTTGTTAACAAAAAAAAATCAATCGGCTTCTTAAATTCGATTCGATTATTCGAATTTTCATCACAGGAAAATTT